TGTAGAGCAATTGTAGACCCTCTGGACTTGACAGGTACCCGTGGCTTGAATGCCAGTAAAACCTCACTCCAGCAATTAAGGCTTAATTTGGAAGGAATTGCAAAGATGTCGGCAAAGACCAGTGCAGACACCTTGATCCGAGACAAAAAGTTCTTTCAGGCATCCTTTCCAGCTGACGGCCGCGGAGGGTTTTTAATTCCTCTATGGCTGTGAAGTGCTTAAGCAATATCCAGGCTGATACAGGCGCTCCGTGACCTGTGTGTGTGCACTGAGCACCTTCCAGCCGAAGGGCTGGAATAAAGCGAGGCTCTGGTCTTGGATCGCTTGCCATGCAAATATAACTAAAAGGAGAGATGCGGCCACAAGTGATGCATTAATAAAGCTTATTTTGCGTCACTAGAACCGCGCTTTCTTTGTTTAGCAGAGCCTCCAAGAGAATTAACCGCTTCTGATGACCGCAGTCCTGTGCCTCGGGGATGTGTTCTTTTATTTGCTTTTGGACTAAAAGGCTGTCTGCTCCGAGGGCCAGCTCACTTCTGCGAGATTTGAGGGGAGCAAAAAAAAAAAAAAAAAGGAGTCTGAGTGGTTAAAAGCGTATTTCTTGAGGCAAGAAGCCCCCAGGCTTGGGGTGCATAAGGTGGAGCTGGAGGGGCTGGGTTCCATCAGCAGGTCGGGCTGATGAAAAGGCCGCGGGAATGGCGATTTTTGGCCTGAGCTGCTGTTTCTCGGTGACCCTCACGTTTCACACGCCACATTGATCATCTTTTGCTCGAGGTCTCTGACATCCTGGAGCTCAGTTTGCTGTGGCTTGGGGGGGGATGCTGTGGCTTGGGAGGGAAAACTCACAGAACCCCTCCGTGTTTATGGAGCCGCCCTGCTGCAGTGCCCATTGCCTCTCCAGTTTGAATTTTTGATGCTCTTTCCCCTAGGGATGCTCAGAAACAGCCAGGAGATCTGATTTGGAGCTCCTCAGGACTCTTTTTTTCCCCCTTTTTTTTCTCTTTCTCCCCTCTCCCGTGGATGAGGGCAGGCAAATAAAAAACAAACCAAGCCAGCCCGTCCAACCGAATTTCTTTTGTCTGTTTGCAGAAACACGCCAAGGGGCAGGATCTGCTTAAAAAAGTCTGCGACCACCTCAATCTCCTGGAAGAGGACTACTTCGGTTTGTCCATATGGGACACGCCGACCTCCCGGGTAAGCAGCTGCTGGCACCTGGTGTCCTGTTCTCAGGTGGAGTCATCTCTCCTGGGGACCTCATGCTGTCCCCATTTGGTGTCCTCCCCCAAAAAAGACAAAGAGGATCATCCCGGAGGCAGAAATTGTGAATAAATGACTACAGGAGCGTGGATTGGAGTTAAAAAAAAACGCTACATGAACTTAGGTTGTCACCTGGAGATAATTTATTGGATTAATTTACTATGAGATGATGCCACTGATGTGGAAAGCTGTAGCCCAAGAAGTGAGGCTGCCCTAGCACTGGTGGCGTTTTTTGTAAGGTTTAGTCAGAGCCACCCAGAGCCGTGCTGAGTCGGGAGAACACGTGTGACTTCATACCAAAGCTCTTACTCACATGGTTTCAGTTTAAGGCTTTGTTTCGTTAGGTTCAAGGGGTGTCTTATCTTTTAAACCCTTGGTTATGCATTAACTCAAGCAGTTGCTCAGGCTCTGTTTAATGAAGCTGGGCAAGAATGCGTTAAACGGAAACCAAAGGCCCTCTTTTATGTCTTTTAAACCAATTATGTTGGTCTCCATCCTGACTATTCCCATATTTCACCTGCAGCAATCAAATACAGGCTGGGTTACCATGGCTGACAGACATTTCTTATTAAATACTTAATAATTGCAAGTGTGAATTTTTAATGCAGAGGCAGGATATCACCCCGTTGCTATTTGAGGCAGGTAGAGCTCTGTCTTGGGTTTATTTTGCTGTCTCTAGTTCTTGCTGTTTTCTTGTCTGTGAAATTTGCTTCCAGGTACGTAGCCTAGACTTTTTTATTTTTTTTTTTTTACTCTAGTTGTTTATTGAGCTTGCAGAGGGGAGGAATGTGTGTGTGTGTAAGTCTGGTTTGCTCTGATGGAGAAAAACATCATTCTAGGCTCTTTATTTATTTATTCATATATATGTTTTGGCACCTTGCTGGATTAACTTCCATTAAAATTTGCAATCCGAAGCTCCCATCTC